CACCATTATTCACAATAGCCAGAAGGTGGAAACAACTCACGTGTCCCGCGATGGATGGACAGATAGACCAAATGTGGAACCTATGTACAACAGAATACTATTGATCCTTAAAAAGGAATGAAAATCCTGAGACATGCTACCACATGGGTGAAACTCGGAAATGGTATGCTAAGTAAAATAAGGCAGGCCCAAATGGACAAATACTGTGTGATATCACTTAGCTGTGGTACTTAAAATAGTCAAATACATGAAGACAGAAAGTGGGAGGAGGGTGATTACCAGGGAGTGGGAAGAGGGAGACTGGGAGGTGTCTGATGGGGACAGAGTTTCAGTTTGGGAAGATTGACACGTTCTGGAGACGGATGGTGGTGCTGATTGCCCAACACTGTGACTGTATTTAATGCCACTGAACTATATACACTCAGAAATGTTAAAATGGTAAACTTTATATTATGTATTTTTTAACCACACATGCACACAAAAGGCACATAGGGATCTGCAGGGTCAGACCAGATGGCCGGGATGAAAGGATACTGACACCAGATGAAATGTAATGGAATCTGATCTCGACAAGAACTGTGAATGATTTGGAAGGCTTTATGCTGGGTCTCACTTCGAGATGTAGTAGGTCTGACTGGGACTGAAGAATTTGCATTTCTAAGGAATTCCCAGGTGTGTTTGTTATTTATTGCTGCATGACAAATTACCCCATATCGTAGTGGCTTCTTTTAAGAACATACATATATGTTCACATAATTTCTGTGGCCCAGAGTCTAAGATTGGTGGCTCTGGCTCAGGATCTCTCTTGAGGTGGTAATCAAGCTGTTGGTTGGGGACTGAAGTCATATGAAGACTTGGCTGGAGGACCCAGTTTTAGGATGGCTCACTCCCACCTCTCTTAGCAAGAGACTTTTGTGCCTCCCTAGGCAGATCTCTCCAGATGGCTGTCTCACCACACAGCATCTGAATTCTCCCCAGAGTGGGTGCTTCAAAAGACAGAGAGCAAGCAGGAAGACAGCTTTTGTGACTGGTATCCAAAGTCTATCCTTCAGAGACAGGTCATTAAATCCAGCTCATATTCAAAAGGAAGGACTTCACCCTTTAAAAGGAGGCATACCGGGGCACCTGGGTGGCTCAGTCAGTTAAGCTTCTGCCTTTGGCTTGGGTCATGATCCCGGGGTCCTGGGATCGAGTCCTGCATCAGTCTCCCTGCTCAGTGGGGACTCTGTTTCTCCCTCTGCCCCTCCTCTCACTCATACTCCCTCTTGTGCATGCCCTCTCTCTCAAATAAATAAAGTCTTCTCTTAAAAAAAAAAAAAGGAGGAGTACCAAAAGTTGTAGACATTTTTAAAAAACAATACACTGGGTATATTCCTGGGGCTGCTGTAAGAAAGTGCCATAAAATTGGTGTCTTAAGCAACAGAAATTTATTGTCTCACAATTCTGGAGGCTGGAAGTCTGAGACTTCCTAAAATATTATCATATTGGATTAGGACCCACGGCAATGACCTCTTTTCTACCTGGTTACCTCTGGAACAACCCTTATTTCCAAAAAAGTTCATGTTATGAGGTACTGGGTGTTAGGACTTCATCATCTTCTGAATTGGATGCAATTTAACACACAATGTAATTAGGAATGCCGAGGTTCCTGCTCTGGGGACCATACTTTTGAGAACCACTGATCTCATCCACCCCTCGGTTACACTAATGAGAAATGTAGGTTTTCCATAAGCTAAACGAACCACCGAGTGTCAAAGAGTTTGTGGCAGAGTTCAGACGATAACACATATTTCTTGATCCAAATTCAGTGCACTTTCCATGAACCATGGAGTGTTTGGTCATCTTTGACCCAAAGTTCTCTGAAGAGCTCAGTTATCTGTGGACCCATGAAGACTTTGTGCTTTTTCTAGGCTAAGTTTTTTCACACTGATTCACAAAACTCTAGTTCCAGGAATCTTTTAAAAGGTGTGTGTGTGTGTGTGTGTGTGTGTGCATGTGTGTGTGTACGATTTTCCTGGAAATGACATCATTCTTCATTAAGCAATCTACACAGGGAAGGGGAAGAAAGAGATGAAGAAGGGATAATGAAGGAGAGAAAAGTAAGGAAATGGGATATGAGAAACACAGGAAAAAGAAATAACAATTGGTACCAATTTACACTCCCGCCATAGCCTGCCACATCTCCTGGTGTGAGTCACGGCGGGAGGTGAGATGAAATCAGCTCTACCTGTTATGTGTATCTATATTTTTAGAAATTCAAGGATAAAATGAACACCTGTAAGTCCACCAGTCATCTAAAGACAAAGAACATTAGCAGGAACACTGACACTTCTGTGTGCCCTGCTCACGGCATTCTCTCCCTCCTTCCTGGGTTATTTACTATTCCGAAGTGGGCGTTGATCATGCTCTTGCTTTTCTTTGTGGTTTTACTACAGATAGGGATAGACCCTTAAACAATATCTTGCTTCAATTTACATGGTTTTGAACTTTATGTAAATAGAATCAGACTAGGTAAGCATATGTGAATTATTTTTTTTTCCTCTACCTGGTGAAACCCATCCATATTGTGTGGTTGTGGTTCATTCATTGTCATTGACATCCATCCATCCTCTGATCAATAAATGGTTACTTTTGCTGTTACAAAGAAAAACTCCCACAAAAGAATGTTATGAATATTCTTATGTTTATGCACTGATGTGTGTCTGCTCCTTGGTGACTTAGCCACAGAGACTACACCAGGTGGAGCTGCCTGAGATCACGTGAATCTTTCCAAAGCTATGTCTCCCAGAGCAGGGATAAGGAGGTTCATTTTATTAGGGTTTGGGATGGATATTTAGAGGGGAAGGTTTCATCATCACATGCAATGGTCAGGCATAGAGTTACACATTTCCACTCAGAAAACATGTCTATACATATGTTGTATATTATGCTAATGAGGCTATGTTCCTCTCAGGGTGGGGATTTTAACATTATAATGAAACTCAGATACTTCATGATTCATCTGTCCAGGTGTCTGTTCTGGGGGGAGGGTCATATTCAAAGGTTTTTTTTTTTTTTTTCTTGTTCCAACCATTTGTTACTTTCTAAAAGATAAAAATTTACAGTTAATCAGAGCTTCTAGAAGTTTCCTGAGTTCAGGGGTCTCGCTGATGACATAGATACACATCTTCTGGTATACTGCCCAAGAATTTATGATAATACAGGCTATATACCTAAGACTGTAATTGATGGATTGTAGGGTGTACTCCTTTTAACATCATTGATTGGTTGGTTGATTTCAGGAGGGTTGTACTCCCACCAGAAACTTCTACAAGTTATCGCTACCTCACATCTCAGCAGCACTTGTTAGTTCATTTTGACTATAAGCTGACTTTAGAACCAAACCCTCACATTAGATGTGATTCCACCATATTGGACCTTGGGGACTTTATGATCCTTGTGCCTAGGATGCCTGATGCCACTGACATAAGAGGTGTTCAAAAATGAGAGGAAACTTAAATGAATCTAAGCTTTAGCTGAGTGGTAAAACTACAGTTTTGGTTTTTTCTTTTTTTTTACATATTTTAAAAGTTTACCAGCATGTTCCTGATTCCAGTCTTTTTTTCTGACTCCAAATTATGTACCTAATGTCAACCTATAATGGTTTATTTGTTCTAAACTCAAAGGCTACACGGGAAATTTCATGCAGCAGTCTAAGTGTTGCCCCTAGAGGCAGGAAATGTATTACATTCACTTTACTGTAATCTAATGAAAGATTGTAACATGGATTTTAGAAAAAAAAGAAAAGAAAAGAAAAGAAAAGAAAAGAAAAGAAAAGAAAAAAACCCCTACAATCCCTCACCTTAATTTCCGAACTTACATGTTCCAGAATGTCATTTTTTAAAAGAAATTGTAAAAATTCTGCTTTCACATATTTATTTGTTTTCTATTTAATTAAATACCCACAACTAAGTTAAAAACCTTTTTTGTGACAATGTGTGGGAACTGCTGTCTAAGGGCATCTATTTGAATGAGCTATGAAGTTTTTTGGTTCCCAAATTTGTGAACCTCTGCCAATTTCTGACGAAAGTTTTACTAGTCTAAAATGTAGTAACAGAACAAGAGTGAGTTTTCAATACCTCAAAATACATTCCATTTAAAAGAACACTGTTTTTTTTTCTGAGATTATGTCATTTCTACCTTTTTAATGACTAAATGTGTTTTAAGAAATGATGGTGTATGTATTTGCTTGACAACTTTGTGTGTTTGTGTTGTAATTTTACTGATCCTTCCATTCTAAATGTTTGGAAATCCTTTCAGAGCGGCTTACTGCATCATTTAAAAATGTATTTTGTAGAAAACACCCTGGGAGTTACTCTCAACGGCCCACAAGTCTCTGAAAGCAAGGTATACTCATTTTTATTCCATGACGGTGCATTTAATTCCGATTGGGTTTCAAGTGAGGCTTAGCGCTGACGCTGGGGAAAGGCGCGTCAACATGGCTAAGGCCGTTTCGTCCTCATCTGTGAATGGTTTAGCCTGCGCGTTATACAGTTCAACAATAGAAGTGTGAGCGCCATGGAAAGTAGAGTGGTTTAGCAGTTCTGGAGGCAGGTGGAGACCCTGGACCCTGAAAATGTGGAAAGGTAGAGAGAAGGGGAGACCCATAGTAGAAAGACATATATAGCAGCCAAGGCTTGGAGTTCATTCTTGCGTGAGCAAGAGAGCCGGCTCGAGGTGCAGCCCCAGGCAAGGGAAGGAAGGGCTGGTTGAAGAGCCACGTGAAAGTCGTACCGAGACTTCAACAACCAGAGAATCCAGCAGCCGCAGGAGAGGAAAGAGGCCAAGCCCTTCAGTTTAGGACTACAACGAACAAGGGGGTGGAGCCGGACACGCCCCGAGGGCTCACACACCCAACCAGCGACGAGCCGCTCCGGCCCGCAGAACACGCCCCCTGTCTCTTCCCGACAGCCCCCGGAACCTAGCTCCCACCCGCGCCTGCGCAGGCTTTATCAAGTCCTGCCCCTTTGCCCGGCCTCCGGGCTCTCCCGTAGCCAATATGGCGGCTCCCTGTGTGTCCTGCGGCGCCGCAGCTTTTTACCGGCTCTTTCTCGGAGGTAGGGTTAGCCTCACCCGGAGACAAGGCGTTTGGAAAGCCGCGGCTGCTGAGTTGCAGACAGGTACTGGATTCCAGGTAAGGGAGAAGCACTGGTCCGTGTAGCGCAAAGATGTGGAGACGCGGCCGCAACCTTCCCCTGGCGTCTCACGTGCCCTCAGACGGGGACTTAGGGGTCTGGGGTATTTAGTAGAGGTCTGAGATTGAGAGAGGAAGAATGGGTATTGGTTTGCAGCGGCCAGTCGAGGTTGTTTCTGGTTTTCGTAGGGTGCGGTGAGGAAGTTGTCTGCAGACGGAACTAGAGCGACCCCTCTTCCTTGAGTTGGCTGCCAAGCTAAGGGGAGTCCGTGCCTTAGGTGTGGTGTAGGGTCGGGTCCTTCCGGCTTGCCCGCGGTCAAGTGGGGAGGAGGGCCGCGCCAGGGAAGGTAAATGAGAACTGGACTCCTGCAGTAGGCTGGAAGACTTACTGGAGAAAGTCACAGTGGGTAAGATTGACAGTGATTTTAAAAGTGCCTTGCATCTGTGCAGTTTCTGTTTTCTTAATTTTCCCCCAACATCTTGTCTCTGGAGAGATGGAGACCAGAACTTTCACATTTCCTTTACTTCTGAGGGCAGTGAGAAGCCAAGATTTTAGCTTCACGGAACTCAGTTGGATGATGGTGCCATTTGCTGACATGGGATCTCAAAAGGAGGGAAAAGTTTTGAGAGGGAAGAAAACGAGTTTAGTTTTGGATGTAATTATGTTTATTATACAGTTTTAATTGGGATGTCCAAGTGGAGATTTCCAGTAGGCCCAAAGATTGACAAATTATAGTTCAAGAAGAGATCTGATTTACAAATCCTCCGTTAACTTGTAGATAGTAATCAAGGCCTTGGAAGTGAAGTCAAACACCTAGTGAACGTGTCCTGAGTTGTTATAAGTAGAGGGACAGGTCCTGAAGGACAGCAGTCAAGAAAGAACATCCTAAAGATTGAGAGTGAACTGCTAAAGAAGTAGGGTGGAGACCAGACAGTGTGATGTTCTGAAAACAGGCGAATGTTTTAAGTAGGGAATGTGATAAACAAGTACCAAATATTGTAAAGAAGTCAAATATTATATAAAAACTGTTGAAAAAAGGAATGCTATGTATTTTTTATTATCTTTCTTTTATATTTTAATCTAAATCAACCAGTCCATCTATTCATTTATCCACCACTTATTTTTTAATACCTTAAAAAAAGATTTTATTTATTTGAAAGAGAGCATGAGCATGGGAAGACACAGGCAGAGGGAGAGGGAGAAGCAGAAGCAGACTCCCTGCTCAGCCGTGGAGCCCTACTTGGGCCTCCATCCCAGGATCTGAGATCATGACCTGGGCCAAAACCAAGAGTTGGATGCTTAACCGACTGAGCCACCCAGGCACCTCTTAATACTTTATTATTGGAAAATATGTTGAAACTTTCATTTTTTCATGCATCTCTTTTGAATATATTTTCCTTGCATATGCTTAGCTATAAACGGGGCTGTAGCATATAGAATGTTTTCATTGCTGACACTTTATGTGTGTATGTGTGGGGTGGGAGGGGTGCTAGCTTTCTTTCCCTCCCTCAGACTCCAGAATCTGTGTATCCTCTGTCTTTCTCTATGATCCTTTTTATCATATGCATACCTACGTGTCAGTAGTAATGGTTGATGGCCATTTATTTTGTTTCCATTTTCTTACCATTAATATGTTAACATTCTGTAATAATTCTTAGGTACTATTCCTTTTATTTGTGTAGAAGAGCATTCCAGTTGGGAGTTTATTGTTGCAAAGTATGTGTACATCTTACATTTGAATAGATATTTCCACATAGCTTTCCAGGAAGGCAGTAGCAATCCACACTCCATCATTGATATATGAGCGTACCCCCTTTTCTACTGGCATTAGTTAATTTTTTCAGTAAGATGGGTGAACAGCGATTTCTCCTTGCTACTTAAATTTTCATCTCCTTGACTGAAATAAAGCTTTTTTTCCCCTCCATATGGTAAATGTTTACTGAGCACTTTACTTGAGCCAGGCACTGTGAAGTAAATAAATCATTATCAAATAATTAGCAGACAGTATTGACCCTTAGCACTCTCCAGGGATGATCCCGAGACTGCTGAATCCCCAAATTCCTTTGTAGTGTCACAGCTTATATTTTACCACAAGAAGCGCATCTCACGTATAACTGAAGGACTTAGCTGACCCCACTCAGACCCTTACTATTACCATATATGTGATTAAAGATATTCATAAAAGTTTTTTGTTTTTTATTTTTGGCACAGAGCTTGTCTGTCTTAAATATTAATACTCCTTCACTTCTATATCTAACATTAATAGTATATTTTTCTTGGGCTACCTGGGTGGCTCTGTCGGTTGGACATCCAACTCGATTTGGGCTTAAGTCAAGATCTCAGGGTCATGGATCAAGGGGGGGGGGGGTGGAGCCTGTTTAGTGCTCTCTCTCCCTCTCTCGCTCTGCCCCCCACTCCTGCGCACACACAAACATGCTCTCTTTCTCACTCAGGAAAAGAAAAACATAGTTACATTTTTCTTAGGGGCCATATTTCTAAAACTATGGAATAATAATAATCAAATACATTTCATAGGTTATTTTTGCATTTTTTTATATGTATAAGTGTGTCCTAGGTAGTGATCTAAATAGTAATTACTGTGGGTCACTGTCAAAAAAGTGAGAAACACTGATGCCATCTGGAAAAAGAAACAAGTTCCATTAAACTATGACTCCTGTGTGCTTAGTTGGGACCCTCACTAGCAGACTTCCTCTTGTGTACCCATCTTGTATACATGCTTTGTATTAATGCCACTACAATTGCAAATATCTAAGTGAACCAAATTTGGGATGGAGGAAGGAATCTTATTTGTGAATGGTGAAACTTCAGGTTATAAACCCCTGAATATCAGGGACCTACACACAGTTTACCATAAAGTTTTGCAGAGGTAAGTACAGAAGAGCACAGAAGTGCAGTACCTAGTGCAAATGAGTTGAAATGGGTAGAGTTATGGGCAGTGTCTCAAAGGAGATGTTACAGTCTTCAGGAGCAGTTAGGAGTTCCATGAAAAAAGAGAGGTGTTCTGTTCTATGATGATGTTAATAGGTACAGAAGGGAAAGAGACCTACAGAGTCAGTGGATCTAGCAGCAACAACTAATTGGTTATAGCAGTTATAATTGGTATAATAATTGGTACAAGAATGGTGAGAGATATGAAACTTTGGCAAGGCCCAGATTATGATCTTTTTTGCTATACTAAGGTGCTTGGGCTTTTTGTTTTGTTTTTTGTCTTAAACTAGTGAGAGCCACACTGGCATTATAAGCAGGCTACCCATGGATTCCCAAATCCTCTGTCAATATAATGTAAGAATGTTAATTTAGCTTTCTGAAATATTTATGACTTTTTAAAAAAGATTTGTTTATTTTACATATAGAGGGAGAGTGTGTGTGAGCATGGGGCAGGTAGGTCAGAGGAAGAGGAAGAGAGAATCCTCAAGTAGATTCCCAGCCCCCCACTGAGCACGGAGCCCAACCTGGGGCTCCATCTCAGGACCCTGAGTTCATAACCTGAGCGAAACCAAGAGTGGGATGCTTAACTGACTGAGCCACCCAGGTGCCCTTGATTTTTTTTTTTTTTTTAAGATTTTATTTTTAAGTAATCTCTGCACCCAGCATGGGGCTTGAACTTACATCCCAGAGATCAAGAGTTGCATGCTCTTGACTGAGCCAGCTAGGCACCCCTTTGACTTTTATAATAAGGAAAACCAGTAGACCAGTTTCCTGTTTTGAAAGCTAGTATTATCAGTTATCAATGATACATCCTTTTAATTTTATTTTCTACCAGACACTTAGTGCTTAAACTTTCCGTGTTCACTGGGTCAATACCCGCACCCCCCCCTTGTTGAATCGGACTGTCTGCCAAGGAATGATCAGTGACATTTGGTGGCTTAGCCCTTGTGTATTTTGATTTTATAGTAAAAACATTGTTCTTGTCTTAAGTATCTGTTCTTTCCTTCTCTCATCTTATGGGCGCCTAGAGATTATAATGTCCTGTATTTATCATAGCATATAGCTGGTTTATGATAGGGTCTTAATAAAGTTTACTGATAAATTGCTTAAAAACTCTTTGAAATTAAAAAATTGACTTCCATTTGTATCAAATGCTGTCTGCAGCTCTGTAAATTGGTTATGTTTTCCCCTAGGTAACTTTTGAATTTCTTAAAAATCCCATTTTATTAGCAATGGATATTAAAACCCCTTTGATGGGATAAGAGGTTTTTTTTTTTTTAAGATTTTTTATTTTATTTTATTTATTTGACAGACAGAGATCACAAGTAGGCAGAGAGGCAGGCACAGAGAGAGAGAGGAGGAAGCAGGCTCCCTGCCTAGAAGAGAGCCCAATGCGGGGCTCGATCCCAGGACCCTGGGATCATGACCTGAGCTGAAGGCAGAGGCTTTAACCCACTGAGCCACCCAGGTGCCCCAAGGGGTTTTTTTTTTTTGTTTTGTTTTTTGTTTTTTTTGAGATCTCATCCTGTCCTTTTAAGGATAGAGTTAATGTACTAAATCTACTTGTATTATGCTTCATTGTTGTAAGTAGGATGATGAATTAATTAGTTACTTATTTCTGCCTAACAAGTTACCCCCAAATTCTGCACCTTATAAACAGCAGACATTTGTTATTTCATGGTTTCTATGGGTCAGGATTGCAGGCACAGCTTTGCCGGGTTTTCCTTCCGGGTCACCCATAACATAGCATTCCAGGTGTTGGCTGTGGCTCCAATTGTCTCAAGGCTGGAGGGTGGAAATCTTCCTCCCAGTTTGTTCATTGTGGGTGTTAGCGGGATTCATATCCTACAGGCTGTTGGATGGGCTGTTGGCTGGAGGCCACCCTCAGTTCTTGTAATGTGGGTCTCTGTAGTACAGCATACCACATCTGGCTTCCATCAGGTTGATCAGGACAGGGAAGAAAAAGAGGGAGCACAGTCTTTTTGTTACATAATCTTAAAGGTGACATTCTGTCACTTTAGTAATATTCTGGTCATTAGAAAGAGGTTAC